CGATTTTTCGGACTCGTCGCACTGGCTGTTTGCGTTCGCGGAGCCGGCGGATGAATTATTCCGGCGCGATCAACGGCGCGTCCGCGTTGTATCGATCGCTAATCGCCGATGAAATCGGGACGTCGCGAGTGAAGTCGAGGACACACGTCGACGCTCGCGCGACGAAACGAGTGACGACGTAGCGAAGCCTACGCTCGCGCGATCAAACTGGGTTAGCGTAATAATTCTATCAGCGAGCGCGAGTAGAAGCAGCCACTGTCCAAATAGCGCGGTGATTGCTCGACGCGCGACGAGTTAGTTCGTCTTATAGACAAGTCCGGGTGTATGTCACGCGCTATAATCCATCATGTTCTTTTTTTGTCTTGGTTATTAGTTTCAGGATCTTCGATCGGGTAGTTCGACAAGTAGTACCGTACCTTGGTACCGTTACTCGGCGACGGTACACTTAAATTCCAAGAGCCATGTTGTCGCATATCGATTTCGCGCGGACGAACGATCGTTACTCAACGCGAGTCACACGAGTACTGATAAAAAATTCTAATTATTCGGAAAATGGCGTATCGAGGAGGCCTTGGGATTTCCAGCATGATATCTATAAAAGACGAAGAAGAATTATAGTTATTTTTGTCGCCAAACACACCCTTTTTTATTTTAAGCACAAAAACAGTTAGAAGAATTATTTTTTCTAAGTGCACAGAAAACATCTCAAATCAAGAATATTCTCATATATAAGCAAGAATATTAGAATCTTTCTAGAAGATTCTTGATTAGATTGAATTTGTATTGATGCAAGTATTACTTGTACTCGATTCAAGACTAAAAAAATCTCCTAAGAATATTATAATATTCTTGCTTATATACGAGAATACCTATCATCGATTTAAGACTATTTTTCTGCGTTACTATAGTGTCAGTGATAATAACCTTACGTGTTGCTACTGTTATGAAATATATTTAGCGCCGGAAATAACGATAATTTTCCATCAGTGTGCGATCACGTCTTGCGGCAAATCGGCGATCCGCCGAGGGAGTCGGCAAAAGTGCACGCGCACGGCATTCCAGCACGCGGTCGTTGCAACGTCGTAATCGCTCGGATGCGTCATACAGATAGCGAAGCCACGTAGATAGAAGGCGAACGCGCCCGTTCGCAAGCATGCTCCGCGTCTCTTCTCCTCGGTTTCCTGGCGGCGATTAATCTACCCCGTGTAACGATTCCCTCTTGACAGTTCTCATCGCGGAAAGTAATAGCCGCCGCCAGATGAGGAATTCAATGGAGGCAGTCCGGCCCCGCCGCCGGTCTCGCCACAATAACCACCCACGAGACTCTCTCTCTCTCTCTTTTTCACGTCGTAAGACCGACAAATGTTTCCGCTTAGGGAACAACGACGACGAACCCTTCCGCCACGGCGAGGAGAAAATCGCGAAGGGCGCACGGGGGAAAAATCGGCGGGGTTCGCGTGAATCGACGGCGGAGGGGGAACGCGAGGGAAAAAGCGCGGCGCGAGAAGGTAAAATGGCTGCCATGCGACGGAATCATTTGTCCTGAGAGATGCCTCCCGGCGTCGGCAAACAAACGACGCCGCACGCGATAGATCGATCCGCGTAATCGAGGGTGGGATGATGGAGCGGTGTAATACCCGCGGCCTACCTGTCGTTATCGCGACATTTATCTGTGAGCCATTCCGCGCCCGATATTCTATTATATCCCGCCACGACCGTAATCCATTATCGGCGCGTCCGTATCCCGTAGGCGTGTGCACGACCTTCGATATCTGTCCATTGCGCGTTTATTAATCGCACCGGGCGAACACCCCGGGATCGTTAAAGACTCGACGGTGCGCGACACCATTAAAGCGCCCGGAGTCACCGCCGCCGCCGATGCAGCTCTCGACCGCTTTCACGATCGCGTTTACGCACCGTGCGTGTGTGCGTCCTGTTAGATCCACGATATTATTATTATCCCGATCGTCGCGCGCTCTTTTTCACGCTCGCCGGCGCTGCATAACTAAACGTTAATTATTATGTATCGCTTCGAGCCGCGATCATGAGTGCGCTGAAGTACCCTGAGAAATGAGTTTGATCGGATCTACCTGGTAATGGGCAGCAAGGCGCGTTTCGCTTGAACGAAACGGAATTTCTGCTTGTAAGAATCAAATTTCGGATTCCCGGGAAGCAGAAATTCTTCTTCCTTCAACCAAAACGCGCTTGCTCGTCCACTGTCAGGTAAATCCGACCAAACTCTCATTTCTCAGTGTGAAGGCGCGATCGTGTCGCGGATGGTGTCGCGAGGACAAATTCCGAGCGACGACGTCCTATTGTGACAGGGCAGCGTGCGAACAGAATGAAGCTACTAGTTGACGAAAAACCGCAGCTCTACCACCTATCTACCTGATCGTTTCTTAACGGATCGCTCACTCGTCGTCGCAGGTATCCGTCGCCCGGTACCCCGTTGTCTACATTTCTCGTTGTTTACTCATGTTCTTAGCCGGAATATTTCCAGAAAATCTCGGCTTGTGCGCGGAGAAAGAGACGGGGTAAGTCTTGACGCGAAGACTTAACGCCGCAACGAAATTGAAACGAATCTATCGCGAGGAGAAACAAGCTCTGATTACACGATCATTGTAATCGTAATGAATGTGAAATACCGCAAAGACGACAGAAGGAGCTTCTGCGCGTCACGTCAAAACGGACGGATGTTTGCACGAGAATCGATTCTTTTGCAAAGTGTTGCAAAGGGCGACGGGTAAGAAGGGCGCGACGTACCGGTACATACGCGTATCGATGCGACGTGGACGGATGGATGGCGGATTGCGCTGGGAAAATTCCGGAGGGCCACGCAGCGCGCGGGGATGATGGTGTCTTTCGAAAAACTCGTAATCCCGCTCTACCCCGTAATCCGATTTGGCCCTGGCCAATCGGCTGCCATCGCTGCCGGTCCTGTGTAACGGAACGACCACCGAGCGAACGTAAACGAGAGCAATCGGAAGGAATCATCCGCCACGGTGAAACTGCGTTTACTTTTTCATTACTCGAATCGATCGAGATTTAACCGTCGCGCTAGCTGGCCGCTCGCACGCAAGCGGGATACACACGAGCGACGTTCAACACCGGGCCGATTATACGCGCCGAAACGCAAATCGCTGATGGGTATTATACGGCGTTCGATGTTTTAACCGGTAATCCGTCAAATAGTGCGGAGCATAGCGCGTGAAAATGTATACTTGAATAGCGCGCACCTCGCGGAAAGAGAGACCGAATGCCGAAAGTATGGAAACCTCGAAAACGATATCTCGTTATTTTATTTCGGTATTTTTGTCAAGCGTCGATAAATATCGTGTCTTATCGCGTTTTAACTTTTTATCTATAAGTGAAGTTATTAAATATATGTATCATGTAAAGTTCTTGAAAACATTTTATACATACACACACGAACAACGCATACATTTAAATGATTTCGTTCGACGTCTCATTTGAACCTTTTCGTACGCTCTGTGTTCGTTTTGTGGACCGATTTCGTTGACTCTGTGTATGGATTCAGGATTAAAATGAGACTTGACGCGGACTACGTGACGCGAGAGAGAAAGAGATAGGGAAGAGAAGTAGTGTAAAATTGGAATATCTGTCGCGGGACTGCAGCTTCCGCGGCGGTCGTGCGTTCGATAAAACGGAGACACCTTCGGCGCCGTCGCGCGTTCTCCTCGGTTCCACGCTCGTTCCGGTCGTCGCTCTGTCTGAGATATGAATCCTGGCCGATGATGAATACATGGCTCCGCCGAAGCTGGATATTACATTTTAGCAATTATCATCATTTCAACAATAGCGAGAATTTCCGCTTGGTCGATGAACTTTAACTCGTGAAATAACGCAGACACACGTAACAAGTCCCTCTTTCGAAAACAGACCTAGGAGCTTCATTAGTTCGATGATACTGGAAAGCGTAACAAAGAGGAACCGAGAGGAACTGAACGAGTAGCCAGTTCGTAGAACGAACTGAAAGTAGAGAAATACGTAAACATGCTTGCCTGAGAAAGAGAGAGAGAGAGAGAGAGAGAGAGAAAGAGAGAGCGGCGGTTGGCAACCTATCAATCTTATCCAGCTATCAGCGGGTGCAACGTCGAAAAGAATTCGCCACGAGATCACAGCAACAGAAGCAACAGCAACAGTGGCGTCACGGCAACAGGAGCAGCAGCGGCGGCAGCATCAGCTCGAAGGATCATACCGTTCTCCCTCCCCCATCCCGAGTACTGCGAGCAGCAGCTACCAGACTTCTCTGTCCCGCATTCTGCCAGGTGCATCGATCGCTCTCTCTCTCCTCGTCTCACTCCTTTTCCGCCGGCCGGAGGGGCGGCATGAGAGGTGTCGCGGGCATCGGGCGGTGGTGGTGGTAGAGTATTCAAGGTGGGGTTCGCGTACCGGATAGCGCAACCGTGGAAGGGATAATTAAACCGACACAAGCGTAGCTCCCTACACTGCCTAACGGAAGGACGAAGAAATGTTACCATGGCTACGTGGATGGGATCCGGCCAATCCCGGTGTACCTCGTAGGCGTGGTCTGTACATTGGCACCCCGATACCTTCTATCTCCGTCTCTTTTTCATGCTTTCGGCCCCTCCGCTGTGGCCGCCGCGGAGGCAGAGGTGGTAGTGGTGGTGGCAGCGAGAGAGAAGTAGAGGTAGGTCTAGAGAACCCGTGAGACTGCCCGGTTGCAACGGGCGCGTACAAACGTATCATGCTGGGTAGGGCCGGTGCCGAGATGCCGGCTTGTAAACGAAACCAGTTTGCTATCCGATACGATCCAAGCAACAGCGGCCTCGCGTGATATCCCCACGACGTGGCAAAGCGTCAGCGTGCCTGGCCTAGTGGGTGTTACCTGAACGACGACCTGGAGGACGTTCGACGCGCGGACGACTCGCGGCTGACAGTGGTTCGCTAGCGATTTTCGGTGAACATCCCGAGGAGCTCTCTCTCTCTCTCTCTCTCTCTTTTCTTTCTTTCTCTCTCTCTCTCTCTCTCTCTCTTTCTCTCTCTCTCTCTCTCTCGCACACACACAAGACGCTGCTCTCCTCCAGCCAGTACGAGCGGCGGGATACGAGCGAGCCGGCCGCTGCGAGTCGCCTCGAAATTAGACAGTGACGTGACGCGACTCGAGAAAGATAGACACGCCAATGTGGGCTCTCAGAATTTATCACCTGCCGCAGCAGCAGCTAGTCGTCGTCCGCCAAGCGATCCTACTGCGCCCGGTCTTTAGGAAAGTTTGAGGCTGTACTCGTGTTCTCGTCGCTCATCGGTGGTACCGTCCCTCTATGCCGCTGTAACACCCGACCAATTCCCTCTTGGACCCCGTAGGATCCTGTAGTGTCGATGGTGAAGTGGAAAACCCGCCAGTGACCGTTTCATCCGTTCGTAACGAGGAATCGCGATCGCGAGACGAAACATGAGAAGAGCCAAGGGCAAGCATAAATCGTAGCGCCGCGCCTCCTCAGCCGCGACCAAGCCGTCGCTCGAGTGACATCGACGTACAAAAGCGGGACCGGGAAATCCGGACCTGGATCCGTCGGGCGATCTCGCCAGACTCGAGGAAAATGTCCACCGTAGCGCCCGCCGGGAACAGTACCGCGGGACCGAACGGGAATGGTCCGATTGTACCTGCTCCGGTGTTCGCGTTACCGACGTTGTCCTTTACCGTCGGCCAAGTGGCCACGGTCTGTGAGACCTTAGAGGAGAGCGGGGACATCGAGAGGCTGGCCAGGTTTCTATGGAGCCTGCCGGTCGCGCACCCCAACATCCAGGAACTGAATCAAAGCGAGGCGGTCCTCAGGGCGCGCGCCATCGTGGCTTTCCACTCGGGGCAATATCGCGAGCTCTACGCGATCCTGGAGAGGCATAAGTTCACCAAGGACTCGCACGGTAAGCTGCAAGCTATGTGGCTGGAGGCGCACTATCAGGAGGCCGAGAAGCTGCGCGGCAGGCCGCTGGGTCCGGTGGACAAGTACCGCGTTCGGAAAAAATTCCCGCTGCCGAGGACGATCTGGGACGGCGAGCAGAAGACGCACTGCTTCAAGGAGAGAACCAGGTCGCTGCTGCGGGAGTGGTATCTCCAGGACCCCTATCCGAATCCGGGCAAGAAGAGAGAGCTGGCGTCCGCGACGGGGCTGACGCCGACGCAGGTTGGGAATTGGTTCAAGAATAGGAGGCAAAGGGATCGCGCTGCTGCGGCGAAGAACAGGTACGTGGTAAATCGTACCCCCCCCCCCCGGGGNGGGTTTCTTTCCCGTAGTGTCCCGTTAGACGAAAGGAACGGAAAAATCGCGCGCTTCCGTCGCGAGCCCGTCCGACTACTTGTCAAACCCCCCGAGTCTCGTTAGACCCGTTCGAATTGCGATGGCCTTTTTACGAAATAAAACAATCGACGCGCGCGACTTCCGACCGAGTGCACTTTGTAGTATGTTCGGATGTTGCAGACGCGCACGCTCTATGAGAGAAAGATTGAAGAAAGCGCATAGAAAGGCTCTGGCGGCGATTGAAGTCACGATAGAAATGCCAATTACACACGACGTAAATGTAACAAAGTTATTAATTGTGAAAGACACACGCGGATATCGCGAGCGAAGAGATCACGCGAGCGTCATTGATCTCAAAAAGAGAAAGAGAAGAAACTTTTCCGAGGAACTTATTGTCTCCTCGAGAAACTTCCGTGGATAACACGTGCCTAAACAATGAAGCCATATGGCGAACATATTTCGACAGTCTGATGTTTACTGTGGAAATTCTCGTGCCCCCACACACGCACACACATACACATCTGCTTCATCGCTTCGTATTGTAAAGGTTACCGGCGTCGAAAGTGCATATTTACAAATTGCGACAATGTCGGAAACTATTAGAAAGGTGTTCATCGATTTTACATCTCGAAGCATCTCTCTCTGTCTCTCTCTCCCTGACTGCCTCATATTGATGCCCTCGTACATAATTTGTAGAATCGCATATTTTCGCTTGGCGCAGGACGTCCTTTCGTAAAATGTCACGCGAGAAGAGATCCGCCGTGATAAATCGAAGAACTCAATTCACACAGAGACGCGATCACACATCTCGCGGAGATTCGTCTGCGGTTGGTCCGCGACGTAGACGGAAAGTTTTGTTCATTAAGTAGCGTTTAATGGAAGTTAATCGCGAAACGATTAGTGGTTTAGGTCCCTTTAGACAGATTGTTGTACTGTGTCCTCGGCAAACGAGCCTTTGTGCGTGCCCCAAGGTCCCCGTGTGGAGGGTCGCGTAATTTCATTTTGACGTCCGACGAAGGGTCGCTGCCGTCGGGCGAACGACGATTTTCGAATTACGTCTTTCAAATTGTGTTTTGACGTCGCTCTCTCTCTCTCTCTCTCTGTTCGACGATATACTCGAGCGCCAAAGTTCCAGGATAGCTTTAAAATAGCATTTGAATCAGTCTCAGATCCTCGCTCTCTCCGTCTTTGTGCGGGGAAATGAAAGAAGGAGGGGAATATCGCGCGGAAATATTTTTCCTCTCTCTGAATGCGCTGCATCTTTCGGACAATTACAGCCCCGAGATAGGTTCGCGAGCGAAACGGGAATTTTTCGCAGGCTGCTTCTGCGACACTGTTCCGCGTCTCGTTGAAGCATGATGCCCTGCCGTGAAGTTGAGTTAATTACACAAAACGCGCTCCGCGAATGAGAACTAGTCGCATCTACTGGAAACTTGCTCCAGCAGTCGTTTGCTATGCTAATATATTCTATTTCGAACGTGATACACTCGTTCGATATCGATCGATCGTCGATCGCATAGAAAGCGTCCGAGACGATGCGGATGTGGAGTTCCGACGGTTCCCCTTCCACGTCCAGCGACACGCGACGCGGAATCCTCGCGTGTGCGAGATTGCCCTCGATTGTGTTTCGGAACAAGTCGCTGTCTAAACGAACCGTAAAATTAATCGGTCGACTTTTACGTGCGAGGAACGCGAAGCACCCGTGTCTCTGAACAAGAAGAACCCTCTCCCGATCCGCGCGAAAACGTGTAAACGGCGCGTCGAGTGGAGACGAAATGATTTACGACGCGGAACACCCCGAATCTACTCTCGATTTAAAAAAATACATATACAACTGGAGCTTAATTTCTCTCGTACGAAAAGCGATCCGTATCGCTCTCGCGATCGCTGGCACACGAGGAAAGGTGTCAGCGACACGTTCGGCTTTTCGTCGAGTTTAACGCACGCGTTGTGCCCTCTCCCCGTATCGATAACGATTCTTGCGAGCGACACGCAACATTGCGGCATATCAAAATGCTAATTTATTCCGTATCGGCGATGTTATTTCGATCGCAAATCAGGATGAATGCTTCGATAACCCGTGCACATGGTATGTACGCCCGCCATTCTCCTAAGTGGAAAGTCGCGATCGACCCAGATCCGTTGCCGTGTGCGCATGTATGCGTTAATATGTATGTGTGCATGTGTATATGTGTATGTACCCACGAGCGTGCGGACGTGTCGTGTAATTATTGCGCTCCGAATGAAGTCATTAATTGTCATTACCTACGTCTAACGCTGTAATTGATATATCGTTAACGGCCGGCGATGCGGCTCGATCATACTGCTCTAATTGATCTTGATGAGCTCGCGCAACGGGTAAAGATTATACGTTTGAATTTGCGCTGCCTTTTTAAGCACACACGGACGCGCTGCGTTGCGCGTCACTATTGCGTTGCATACGCGCGCTCACCGTTCATTAGAGATGCGGGAAAATGTTTATGTAACATTTGCCACGTAATACCCGTAAAAATAGAACGGCCCGTTGCGTCATTGGCGGTAAAATAGATCGGCTCTCGCGTGTCTGGTTGTTGCTGCTTTTCCGGAGAGCGCGAGCAAAAATATTCGTAACCGCGAGATTTATTGAATAGAAACGGCACTCTCGGCTCGAATTATATGCGCGACGGGCGCGATAAGATCAAGTCCAAACTGTGCCAGTGGTTCCTGTGTGTGTGGCCAGTGCGATGATTAATTGCGCTAGAAATACCGCTGGAGACGCGTGTTTTTACTCGCACCACAATCGAGAGAGGTGTAATATATCGTTTCGAAAATAATTGCCGAATCGTTTTAAACGAGTGCACCGAACGAGCACCGGATTATGAACGCGGCGGTGATCGCTCGCACGCTCACTCCTCCGAACTCTCGCGCGAGTTGCACGGGCATAGAGTATTCGACCACACGCGACTACTTTCGTTTAATGAATGTTCGTCATTTGCATTCGAGAACCGTCCTACGTATCCGACGTTGTTCTGCTATTTTCAGAGTCACTAATGGCAATGTTAACCATCCGGATTTACCGTCGCTACTCTCTAAAGTGCAATCAGTGTATACCGAGAGAAAATATAGTCATTTTCGGGGATATCCTTTTTTTATTTTAACCACAAAAATGGCAGCAGCGACACGCACGTAAGGTTATTGTCACTAACACTATAATAACACTTACTAGAAAAATAGTCCTCTCGACTGTTTTTTAGGATTAAGATGAAAAAAGAATATTGTTGTTCCCGAAAATAATTGTATTTTTTTTTTTGGTACATCATCACTGAGAAGCAGTCAATAGACATTGGTAGATCATGGTTATAAGTATAGCATTGTAAATTAATAAAATTTCGCTGAAGAAATCTGTTAATAGCAGCGACTGTTTCCATGGAGAAAATCTGACTACAGAAACAATGAGAAAAGATATATAATAGATTTTAATTGATTTAATTTATATAGTATTTAAAAAACACGTTTTATATTGATGGGACTCAAAACTTCTGGCTCCTAAGTCTGCTGCCATACAAACTACGTTAGATATTGCAATAAATCTTTCACAAAATCAGTAAAGTATAAGACAGAAAATTTAAGTAGAAGTATCTCCATTAAAAATCAGTGAATATTTACTGTCGGTGTAATATTGTTTTACTGATTCAATCAGTGACATTCTCACTGATTCTATTTAAGAGAGCAATTAATTTTAACGCGCGTCCGAAGCTTACGCGTTACATATGTAAAACGTATTTATCTTACATCAATATACTGTCGAAACATTGTCATTATTTTGTTAATAGTGCGACTCTCACAGTCGGGTTGTTTAATTATCATTATTGTGATTGTTACTATTCACTTTCTCCCTTTTACGATTAAAAGTCCGAGATAGAAACATCATGCCTAAACGAGCGGAACTTCCTCGTGATACAAGATCCAGTGCGCTCCATTCTACTGTCACATTATTTAAAAAAGCGTGAAGCGCTTCAAAAGATCGTTCATGTTGGTCACAATCCCGCGGCTCTTTATTCAACTGAAGCTATCCAACAATGGCTGGGATGTACCTATCGTTACCCGACGTAATGACATTCCGTATCTGGCCCCGAGCCACATTTTCCCGCACGTAATCCTTCGAATCCCCGGATGAGGTCCTCGCTTGTGTGCACGTCCTACGTCTAGATAGACGTACCAGAAGATAGAAGGCCTCCTAAGGACCCCACAGGTCCTTTCAGACATATCGACTGGCGTATGGAATTTGACGTTGGCGAAATTCCATGTACACAATGTGCTATTGTTTCATAGTTAAAGAATCGAAAAGAAAACAGCGCATTAAAGAGACTTTTTTCATTCGTTCTTGCAACGTCGCTTTGTATTTTGCGTTATTCTCGGTTCGCAATTGCCAAAGATTAATCGCGTAGAAATATTAAAAATATATAATCGTACATAGAAAAAAGAAGTGCTAAATTCAAGTAAACAACAACCACAATACTTCTTAGCAAACTCTTACTCGGATTAAATAAATTTTATTTAAGTTACGTAAATATGATTTAACGTAGAAAAAATGCTACATTTAAATAATATTTACTTAAATCCGAGTAAAAATTTGCCAAGGAGTATTAGAGTAATTATTTATTTGAATTTAGCACTTTTTTCTATGTATGAGAAGAGAGTGTCATTTTTCGACTTGGTATTTAAATCTACGATAATTATGATTTTGTATCATTTTTATGAGAAAATTTTGTTTGCTTTTTTCGCTACTTTTCCCTCTCTCTCTCTCTCTCTCTCTCTCTCTCTCCTGTATATTCGCTATTATACGAGGAACTCTTCCCTGTAATTTTTCTCCGCATCCAATTCCTATTTGTATCGAAATGGCTTTTTCATGCTTTTTGTTACGTGCTTCCAATATTTAATAACTCGGTCACCGAGTACAGGTAGC